AAAATTATCAATATTTGCAGACGATACCCAAAAAATTCCACCAAAAAATTCTGAGAATAACCAAATTCAGTAGAGTAAACAGGACACAAAATAAACACACAAAAATCAACAGTGTTCGTGTCTACACCAATAAATTCACCCAAGAAAGAAATTAGGGGAACAATACCTCTCACAGTATCATCAAGAAAAATGAAATACCTAGGAATTACAGTAATCTAAGCAAGAAAGTTAAAGATCTCTACAATGAAAACTACACTACACTGAAAAAGGCGATTGAAAAGGACATCAGAAAAACAGAAAGACGTCTCCTGTTCCTGGTTAGGCAGAACTCATATGGTCAAAAACGCCATATGTCTAAAACTGATACACTGATTTAATGTAATCCCAGTCTAAATGCCAACAGGATTCCTCACAAAACCAGAGAAAATAAACCTAAAATTCATATGGAATCTAGAGAGATACAGAATGGCAAAAGCAATCCTGGGTGACAAGAGCAAAACCAGCAGCATCCCAATCCCAGACTTTAAATTATGCTACAAAGCTACAGTGGTAAAAACAGCATGGTACTGGCACAAAAGCAGACATGTGGGTCAATGGATCAGAACAGAGGAGGCAGAAACAACCTGAGGCATGTTCAGCTACCTGATCGTTGACAAAGGGGCCAAAAACATACTCTGGAGGAAAGACAGCCTCTTTAATAAACAGTGTTGGGAAAACTGACTATCCACATGTACAAGATTGAATCTAGATCCATATATCTCACCATGCACTAAACTAAAATCAAAGTGGATCAAAGATCTAAATGATAAAACAGTTAATCTCCTGGAAGATAAAAGAAATAAATCTCATAAATACATGAGGCTGGGCATGGTGGCGCACACCTGTAATCCCAGTACTCGGTAGGCTGAGGCAGGAGGATTGTTGTGAGTTCGACCAGCCTGGGCTACAAAGTGAGCCCAAGGCCAGCCTGAACTGCATAGTGAGACCCTGTCTCAAAAAAGACCAAAACAAAAAAACCCCTCATAAATACATGAAAAAATGTTGAATATCTCTGGTCATCAGAGAAATGCAAATTAAAACAACAGAGTCCATCTCATTCAAGAATGGCTATCATCAAGAAATCAGATAACAAATGCTGCCATGCTGGTGAGAGTGGGGGGCCGTCACTGTGGTGGGAATGCAAACTAGTACAACCATTATGGAAATCAATATGGAGATTCTCATAAAGCTAGAAATCCTATTCCACCCAGCTATTCCCCTCCTAGCTATCTTTCTGAAGGAGTTAAAGACATATTATAGTGATACCTGCATATGATGTCTATAGTTGCACAGTTCCAATAGCTAAGTTTTCTAATAGCTATCTCGTAAAAGTGGTCTATGTCCATCAATAGAGGAAGGAATAAAAAAGTGTGGTATTTACACACAGTGGAGTACTCCTCTGCCATAAAGAATAACCTTGAATCATTTGTACGAAATCATTCTATAAATGAGACTATAAATTTCAGTGAAATAAATCAGACACACAAACATAAATATCACGTAGTTTCTTTTATATGAGCACCAGAAAATATAAGGAGCAAAATAAAAGATAAGTAAGAGAAAAAAGGAAAAATAAGATGTAAGGAATGGGTAGGAAGGGTAGGGAAAATGCTTCAGCGAGGATGGAAGGAAAAAACGTACGAAAAAGAATTAAAATGTGTTATGTGCCAGACATAGTGACACACGGGTGTGATCCCAGCACTTGGGAGGCTGAGGCAGGAGGAATGCTGGGAGTTCAAGGCCAGCCTGGGTTACATAGTGAGTTTAAGGGCAGCCTGAGCTACATCACCAGACCCTCGCTCAAAAACAAATGTGTTATATACACATACCAACTCCTCATGATGAACGCAATCACCATGTACTGCAAACGTACTAAACAAAAATTTGAAAAAAGTATTTGTAAGTCTGATTTATTCATAAGCCCTATACACAACAAAATATAAAACCAAAAGGCCAAACCTTACCTTAAAGAACACTAACAACCTTCACACAGCGCCCTTTCCTCAGACATCTGCTCTCCAAATCCTTCCGAGCCCGAGTGTGGTGGGTCAGCGCGCACTTGGCGCGGGCACACGCTCACGCATGCTTTGGGATGTCCACAGAAGAGCGGTCTGTGAAAACAGCACCGCACGCCCCTTCCTTCATGACCGTCAGGTTGGAGGACCGGCCTCCTCCTCTCTCAGTAACCCGAGATACTTGATTTTAAAAATTGATTCTCACAGATGAAAATTGCTGAAGGCTAGCATTCCCCACAGCCGCAAAGTAGCAGCAGCAGCGACCATGAATGACATTCATTCCAGCGGGATAATCTAAAGGGGACTGCCTGCCACCACGGAGAAACTGCCTTATCTCAGGAGGCATGCACGGAAAAAGCACCAAAAAAGGACTGACTTCTACCAACCCTGCTAATTTCTTTCATGAAATCGTTGATCTTAACACATATACAGGAAAAACAAACACCCTAAAACCCCCTGCTACTATAACCACTGGGCTTAAGGTACAATGAATTTCTCCTTCAAACTGCTTGTTAGTGCGGGGTGTGGCGGCACAGGTCTGTAACCCCAGCACTCAGGAGGCTGAGGTGGGACGATCTCCATGAGTTTGAGGGCAGTTTGAACTACATGAGACACTGACACTGTCTGAAAAATACAAAGCAACAACAACAAAGGAATCCAGGTGATGCGAAGGAGGGAGTCTACACAAAGGGTACATACTATTGCCAGACCTGAACCCGTCACCAAGGAAGTGGGGCGGAGAGGAAGAAGTCAAGAAGGAATTCCGGGGTTTTTAGAGGGGCACTCTCATTTTGGAGGAGGGATTAGCTGTGACAGTCCCAGCGTGGTGCCCATCAAACGGGGAACCTCTCTAAAGGATAGCAAGGTTTTTTTGTGTGTCTGTCTTTTATCTCTTTGTTGTCTACACAAAGATTAAATCTGGCCGAGGAAGGAAGATCACAGTTCAAACCCAGCCTTGGCAATTGAGTGAAACCCTGTCTCCAAGTAAGTAACTGGCTGGCTCAAAAGGAAGATCCTGGGTTCAACCCCCAGTACAGCACGAAATACCCCAAAGGTTCAGATTCAACAAATGCAGGGCTCAAACACAGCTTTTGATGTACGTTCCTAGGACATTTAGAGCCCAGAGCACAGCAGCTTTAGCAGGCGTCCCGGGACACCGCTCAGGACCTGCGATGCACCGGCGGGAGGCTCACGTCCGCTCGCACCACCGCTCGCTGACCTCCGGGGAAAGTGACTTACCGTTACGGGTTGAACTCGTCTTCACCCACCCGGACAGCTTCCACAGGTTAAATAAAATGTGAAAACTGTGAACTGAAGGCCCGGCGCGGAGACAAGGAGCGCCTTCGGCGGGGGACGTCCGCGCCGCACGCGTCGCGCCTCGTCCCTGGCCGCCCCGCTCGCGGCACCGCGGAGCCTAGG